AATATTCCAAAGGCTTCTACTATCAGCAACATCCTTGCTCTTTCTACTTGAAGCCTGCATCAAGCAATAATACTGGTGCAAATTTCTCAGCCCAAGAGTAGGACTCCTTTGTTTACACTAATCACTCCTAACCTGACCACATGTACATTTCCTTTTTTTTAGGAGACAGCCAACAGCAATGCATCCAATTAATTGTGCAACACAATTTAACACAAACTGGACAATATCACCTAAAGTGCATAGTCCAGCCACTCCAGGTACAAATTGCAATTATTACATGAGAACTAAGACTTTATGACATTTCCTACAAATGTTAATTAGCTGGTAGGTTAAGGCCCTTAGTCATGTAGCACTTCATCAATCACTAAGATTAAACTATTAAAGATGGAAACTGTAACATTTTACATGAAAAGTTATGCAGCAAGTCAAAGTAGAGTATTATATTAGCCCCCTTTAGCCGGTGCTCTTTTATGATAGTCCCCACTAAGGAATTTCCACAAGCTGCTGTCCTAATATGATCCAGGTCTACATCCTGTACACTGCTCCTGTCTCAACAGCTACTGTTTTCATCACTGAGACTCCTACTTCAGAGTACATAAGTGGAGTTTTTAAGTGTCTGTAGATTCCTAGAGGACAAAACACTCCACTTCTACCTACTGTACGAAAGGCGAAATTTGGGAGCAGAGGGACGTCATCCAGCTCAGCACTTTTGCCCTCCAGCCTCGGCCACATTCATAGAACTGGAACGTTCTGGTAAGAAATACATAAAGATTTCTGAGGTCTGCCCCTCTGCATGCTAAACTGACAGATATGAGGTGTAAGACTAGCTTTGCCAGGTTAAACAAGGCTATTAAAACAGCATACCCAACTTTACTGGCACTAAAATGGAACAGTGGTGCCAAAGGTTCTAAAAGAAAGAAATATTAAGTAATATTGCACCTCTGACATTGACATAAGTTTATTATTATTCCATGCCAATCTACCTTGATCCAAATCCTCTAAACACATGCTGCTCCAGTGCTGGGCCTCCCTTAAGCCTGCAAATTATCCTGAATAGTGCAGCAGTTTTGCAATTTGGTCAAAAATTACACCCAAATCTCTGCACAGAAAGACAATGCAGCATCAGATCCTTATCTAGCCCATAATTTTTTCTGCATCTTGTTACCCTGTGCTCATTCCTATGGCTTCCCATGCGCCTCACCACAGCTGTTTTGGGTTTGATTCTTCCCCACCTTTGGTAGAGAGTGCTGAACAGAACCTGTCCTTCCCTCCCAGTGTGACAGCTATCCAGAAAAGAGAAGGAGCTGCTCCACTTCCCAAAGGGGGAAGTTTTTCAGGGTTATCTCCTTTGTATTTTTTTTCCATACAGCAGATAATGCATATAAGAGAAGGAATACAGATTAGAAATTGCATATTTCCAAGTTACATATTCCTTCCTACTCACTTTCAGGTTATTACTGACAGAAATATTTTTAGGCACTATACACAAATTCTTCCTTCTTCAGTTACTTGAATACAACCATTAAAACAAATGTTATTTTAGGCTGAGTGAGGTACTCGAGGCTGAGTGGAGAGAGATGTAGCCATCTATCTTGCATCAACAAGTGAAGGCAGGAACACAACTGGTTATTCACAAGTCTCATATCAAAAGTAAACAAAAACACAAGGGTATAAAATTTGGTCCTGAGTAGAAAGAAGAAAATGGAGGCAGGCATTAAAATATTGAAGTCAAAAGAACCTGATGTTTAGAGAGAACCTGCAAAGAAGAACTAGAAGCACTTCCTTCATTTTCAGAAGGGCTTTCAGGAAAGTGAGCAGAACCAGGGCAGTCCTGGATGAGGGAGGGTATGTAAACATAGGGCAACCCACTGTGAGGCCCAGACATTGTTGCACCTCCTGAGTGTCATTGAAATGGCCCATCCGGCTTTCCACTCCCTGAATTCTCCTCATGTATGTGCACAATCAGAACAAGTTTCTAAATGCTCAACACAGACATGTCTGGCTGCCATCCCAAAGTGAAATCAATATTGGAACATGTGACCAAAAGTTCATGTGACCAAAAACTTGAGGAAAGCAAAAGTCATGAGCAATCCAAAAAGGATTAAAATATAAAATAATAATTAGATTTAAATAAAGGATAAAATTACTGTAATTAGGATAGATTAAATACTTTTCTATCAAAATTTATTTTTAGTTATGCTTGCAATTGGAAAGGCATGTTGTCAAAACTGTAAAGAAAACAGGTACATTGGACAATCTTTTTCTTAAAGCACAGCATCCACTGCTATGCTCTCTGAAAACCCCTGAAAAGGGCCTGTTCAAAAATACTGCAATAACAAATATTATAGTGCTAGGAATTAGTACAATACATAGTCCAACATACTTCTGAAATAACACATAACCAATCTGCCTGTGCTCCAAAAGGAGCTGTGCTCCCTTTGCCAGAACACACGGACTGTCCAAGGTATGAATGCTCTGGGACACAACTTCAACTGGTGAGGGTAAAGTTATCTACACTGAAAGGCACCAGTGCCAGGAAAGCCTCTTGGAAAAAAAAAAAAAAATAGACCCGGAACACCCTCCCTTTCTGCATGCAAGTATTGTGAGCCAGAGACAAGATTTCATCTGCTGCCAAGGATGCTGCAATGCCCAAGGACCCCAAACACAAGAAGTCATGAACCAACAAGCACTGCCAAAAGGAAGCTGAACACTCAGGTTAACCAGACAAGTGGATTGGTTTGTTTTGGTTTTTTTTCCCAGGTGAGTGTAAAAGCCTGAGTTTGCATTGGTGACATACAGCATTTTCTACTTCAGAATTGAACACCAGGCATATGAAAAGTAAACCCTGAAAGCATCATGACCTAGATTTACTTAAATGAGGGGTGAGCAGAGCAGGACAATATTTCAAATTTCTCTCTAGTCAAAGGACCTGTGAGTGAATATTGGAAGGGAAACACAAGTAAAGTAAAGATCCAAATCTGAAAATGTGACCTAAGGGTAATTTTAAAAAATGTATTTTCCAAATACATTCACATTCTTCTCCTATAAACAAAATAATGGTATTATGACAATCTAGCATTAGTGTTTTTCAGCATGCTAACATCTACACATTAAAAGAATGTGGTTATAAAGAATGTTTCAGAAAAGCAAATCTACACATAGCTTTTGTGCTGTAAATGTCATACTTTTTGCCTTTTTTTAAAAGTAATCATAAAAATTCATTCTTCTGTAAGTGAACCCAGTATTGAGCAAAAATCAGAAAAACTAAACTTCACAAGTCCCGTAATGAAAGGAAATAAAAACCTCCAAGACAGAAAATGCTACTGGAAGTGCTACTTCCAGTTTTAAAAAGATCAGTTCAGTACCAGCTCCAGTTTTCCACCCAGCTGTTAGCAGGATTTATCTCTTTGTATACTAGAGCTCATGAGGCTTTGACATATTTTATTCCATGCTCTAGTGAACAGAGTGCAGTTTGAGAATGATTATGGCCATTAAGAAGCAAGTGTAAAAGAGGCAAGACCATCTGCACACCCTAATAAAATGGCCATGACTTTTTAAAAACAGGAAAAGCGCTATGCTGCATATTCCTGAGGACAAAGCCACGACAGATAGAGCTGATAGCTCTGTGATAGTTACTTATCACAAAAATTTCATCACTGAATACACATTCCTCTTACTGAACCATTTCCTCAAGATCTAAGTACAAGAGAAATTGTAAAATGTTGGTTTTGTCAGGGGTTTGGGTTTTTTTGTTTTTTTGTTTTTTTTTTTTTAGAATGCAAACAATAAGAAAAGATGCATTCTATTCTTCAGAAGGCACAAGATGTGTCCAAAACTAGTTGGCATTCAGGATAAAAGCCTTGAAGTTTGCTTTGTTTTATATGATCAGCACTGCTAACAAGGCAAATATTCAGAAATAGAATTAAAGTGGATGAGTACTTATATTCCAGCTTTGATAGGTCTTACTTCCCAGGCCTGAAAAAGCAGGCCTCTCAGCTTCTGGAAAATAAGAACTTGGCTTTTTTTAATTTGGTACTTAAGCAACTGCAGACAGAAGCACAACTAGACCATGTGAACCCTGTAAGAATCCTGGAGGAAAACCACAGTAACATGAACTACCTACATAATAATAGAATAAGGAGGAGTAGACATACTTTGAGTGGCTGTAAAAGGAGGGGAGAATAGTAAAATATAGGTGATGCCCGAAACTTTTTCTCCATTTCTGTATCTGCTCACAAGTGCATCTCTATATGGTAAACAGTGACACACAGGACACAAACAGTACCCACCTGGTAGCATAAATATTTGGGTGAGTGTGAGAACAAGGACATGGAAAGGAACACTCTACTGCTGTATGCAGAACCCTTACAGAGCCACCTCTACAGGAAACCCCTCCCCACTCCCCCAGGTGAAAACTGTAATGACTGAATCCAACTTCCAAAGAGAGCAAATGCAGTTAGTTAAATTTGTGGAAAATTAGAAATAATATAATTTGGCTGTTTGGAAGGAGTCTCCCTTCTTAATGTCTTTAGACCACAAGGAAAGCAGACAACTGACTTAATTTAGGTTCCCTCTCCACTCCCCTCCTCTCCACCCAGAAAAGAAAGTCCTTCAGGCTAAAAACACAGTATCCCAATCCTTTAGCAGGCCCACACATCTTATTTACATTATTTGGAAAGAGTAGTAATCAGTGTTCATAAGGATACTGGAACCCCTTATGTTGAGGGATAAGAAGTTTCATCAGGATTTTTTAGTACTTTCCTTTAACACAAATAATTTTGTGACAACTGCAGCATCTAATATTTTTCTGATATAATATATATATAATACTATAAAAAATGTACCCACAGATAAAAGCAAGACATTTTATATTAGAATATTTTACTATTACAGACTCTCTGCATCTTTTTTAATATAGTAATACACTATAAGAAACAGGAGTATTTCCTTTAAATGTGCCTCAAAAGTTGTACAACATATCCTTTCATCAGTGATCTTACCTTTTTCTGAAGGACATTAATTTTCCTTTCTTTTACTTCCAACATGTCTTTCATATCTCGAATTTCTCCAGCAAGGGTTCCCTTCTCTTCTGTGAGGTCTTGAAGTTGTTTTGTTTTTTTATTCAGAAAGGTTTCTTTTTCTTCTAACCGTAACCGCAAGGCATCAACCTACAGTAAGTAAATCAAGCACATTTAGGGTTCAGTAGAGATCATTAGCATATTTTTTCTAATACTCTTTTATTCACACTTAAGAAATGTTTTATTTCTCTTCAATGTAATTTTCCAAACTGAACTCTAAGACACTGTTTTACTCGTTACACTTTTCTACAGCATTTATTTCAATAGCCTCTTACCAAATGAGTCTGACTACTTCTCTGCAGTAATCACAAATCCCCATCAAACAAAACAAGGAATAATCAAGGATTTTCCTAAGCAAAACATTCTGCATATATCACTGGTGGGTTGCTTTTTTAAAAAAAAACAATACTACAAAGAAGAAAAAACAAAACTCAAAAGTGTCAGCAAGACAGTGGAGGCGCAACCTACACCAAAAAGGCTTCAAGCATCTGCAGCTCCTTCTTGCTCTACAGCACCACCTTTTCTACTCTTCATCCCACATGCCCTGCACCTGTGTGCCTCTGCTCCCTTTGGAGGTTGCTCAGTGCCCCGGGCACTCCATGGCTCATTGCTGTCAGTGCTGCTCACCTGCTGCTCACAGCTGTGCCACTGGGGATGGGGCTGGGCCAGCCCCACTCCCATTTACCACAAACTGTGTGCCTACAACACAAAAGAATTCCAACAGCCCAGAATGTGTAAGCACCCTTGATTTTTAATTTCTTGCTGTGCAAGAAATTCAAGCATGCAGATTTGTTATTCTCTTAATGCAATTCAAACAGTAATAAAATAGCAGAGATCTCAACTCATTAAAGAAAGAGATTATGCTTGGTTTTGACCATCATTACTACAAGAATCACACTGGATAGGTATTGGTGCCTTCAGCAACACTTCCACTGTTTACATATTCTGGTTCCGAAAAGCAGCTACAAATGAATTGCTGAGCAGCTCTCAGCATAAAATACGGGGGTGGGGGGGGAATATTTGGGAGAAAAGAATAGATTTCATCATATATGAAGTTTTTAAAAACCAAGACTTTTTGTTTCACTGTGATTTTCATATTATTGAAAGCTTATTTGTAAATATAATCATGCAAGACAATATATACCCACAAAATTCAGTCAGTGCTAACAAAAATCATGGAAAGTAGAGAACTAAGATAAAGGGAGTGCAATCATTCCTTGTTACAGAGACAGATTTCCTTGAACAGAGGTTTTTTTCTGCACCTGTGAACCATGAGGTGTTCACATTAAGTGGACTCACAGGCTTTCTTTGGCTGCAAGACTCACCACTGAGAAGTCAAGGTTTGGATTGAAAATGTATGATGTGGCAATTTAGAACAATTCTCCATCTACAAGAGAACTGCAGGCAGTCAGGCAAGTGAGAAATATTAGATTCACTAACCAAAATTTCAAACATACAAATTTTAGAAATAAAGAACAAGAGTTTAAAGTTTCTATTTCCTAGAAATGCATACGGTTAATTCATAATAAAAAGCTAGATGGAAGAAACTGAAAGGGCATAAATGGAGGCTTAGCATTTTTAAGTTCTGTACATGGAACAGTCAGAAAGGGTCTCCTCTATTAAGCAATTTGTTCTCTAGTTAATCAGAATACTATCAAATTGCAAAACAATCATCAAATCTATATTTATATATATTCTGAGTTTTGTAACACTAAATTTATTTAAAGCAAAAGTACTTTCAATGCCACTTTAAAACTTGGTTTGGGACCAATTTAGATGATCTATTGGATCTCAAAATGCATGTTCTTCCTGCTTTTAAAATGGCTCATTGCCTTTCTATACACTGGAAAAAAGATTTATATTCCACTAGATTTATTTTATTTTTAAGACTTCTTTTACAATATTACAGTAACGGGATCTCTCACTTTGTAAGCAGCAAGCAGTAAGGGATTCAAAGATGACTTTTTCAATTAGAAAACAAGAAATAATAGTAGCAGCAAGCTTTCAGACCACTTTTTATAAACATAAAAGACCTCATCTGAATCTCATTACCGCATCTTCTTTATACTTAATCACTTCTTTGCTTCACAGCTGAAAGCAATCCCTGAAGTCAAATCACAGAAATCTGTTGGGCCTTCCAGCTGCAGCTGAGGAGCTCCTCAGGACCTTGGAGCAGCTCTCCAAAAGCAGCTCTCCCTATCAGCCACTGCCAGGCTCATTTCCCAGCTGCCACCAGGCAGAAGCCTAAAGCTTGAAGTCAAGGGAGCTGCAGGTGATTGGATCCCAGACAAACAAAGCTGTGACACCATCCCACCGTGGCTGGGATAACACAGCGGCTTCCACAGGTCAGCTGCAGCTTGTCCTGCTTGGCTGAACCAGCCAGGGTCAATAATCTTTTCTGCTCTGCCCATCCAGTCCCCGCCCCAAGGGCTGAGGAGACAATTCTCACTCTTCTTCACAAATTTCTTCCCACACACCTTGTCAGCATGGCTCTCTAGATTCAACTGAGGAATGGGGGCATTTTAGGTAATAAAATCTGGGAGCACAAGGAGGGTGGAGAGGATGAGCAAACGGCTCTGAATGCCCAGTGACAGCCTGTGAGGGGAACTGGAGCAGAGCTCCTGCCCACTCCAGCTTCTCAGACTCAAATCCTGCTGTAGCTTCAAATAGAGTCTTTAAAGCATAACCAAAGTGCAGCTTCTGTTGCACTGAGAAACAGCCAAAGAGCCTCAATCCTATCAACCCAAATTCACACAAGGACAGTGCAAGAGTTGGGAAGGAAAGAGCACAGTATTATCCACCACAGCCTTGAGTGGCAGAAAAAAATCTGCTGAATACATATCTAGTTTCTTATATTCCTCATCTTGAGACTGATACAGCAGAGCACTTTAATACAAAAATCCCCCTGCACAATGAAGTATTTTGATAGAATATCATCCCCAAAGTAACATTCACAGCAAGGAGCCATTCTGAAAGTGGAGGCAGAGCCCTGACCAGTGCCAGCCTAGGAGAGGGAATACACAGCTCATTCTGCGTGTGGTCTTGGGTCTGCAGATTGATTTTCTATTCACAGGAGTGCAATGTGGAGGTTTAGGAGAACATCAGTTATGCCAGCCATTTTCTCCTTCCCTAAAGTCATCATTCTGCCTGTAGAAACCACGAACCAAGACTTTTACATTTCTCACAAGAGGAAACAAAACTACCTCAGCCTGAACTGCAGGCGACCTTTCACTATCTGTTCAGCACTAAGCATGGATGACATCATCTCATAAGTAAGAACCTCCAGATGGCAGAAAACCAAAATGCTGTTAAATCAGGTCCTCATCTTGTGGACCAGAAGCAAAATATACTGCTTCATTTTTGGCCAGGGTCAATTTGCCAGTGTAAGAACTTGTCTCTTCCCTGCAAATGGTACTGTGGTGAAACCTCATCTCCCAAAAATAACACAACAATGAAGTATTCTAGATGGAGCATGCCAGCACACCATGAGGAATGTCTGCCATTTTGTTACTACCTCTTTTCCATCTAAGGCATTTTAAATATAATTTGAAAGGAAATTAAATTCGGGTCATTTGACAGCAACAGATATATATATATATATATTTGAAAGGATAAGGATTTCTCTTACACAAAACCTCTCTCTTTGGCTTTTCACTCAACACTATCTAATTTTAAGAGTCCTTCACTTATTTCTTCCAAGCTCTTGCAGTATATTTACTAGTAAAACTTGGCAGTCTGAAGAACACCATAATTTTCAAGAAAAATAAAGAAAAAACAGATCTGATAGCTAGCACATTAAGTATTTCAAAGACCCCTCTCCAAGTAAATTGCTTTTTAATTTTGTCTAACTTCTTTTTCCTCAGCTGCTACTTATTTCTACTATTTAATACAATAAACTCTGTCACTTACTCTGGAAATATACAACACACTGTAAAAACTTTAGAATTGGGTTATACTTTTGGAAAAAAAAGAGTTCATGTAAGTGGCAAAAATTGCCAAATTCAAACTTTATTAATATTCATGTCACCACCTGCCACTCATGACCAGCTTCAGAAGTGATGTCTACTCCTTGAAGTTCCTTACAGTTAACTGTTTAACTTAGATGCCATATTACATATGTCATTTATGGAAATGGTTTAGTGCTAAGGAGCTCCAGGGGGAAGTAAAACATGAAGCAGCACTACTGTGTTTCACTGTTAAGAATTATTTACTTTACCATCATAAATAGATACATTTAAAGCAAATGTTTGACTGTATTTTTTTAAACTAAACCTGAAGGTCCTGCTGAAGTCCTAAGTGTGCTGTAGTACCACAGCAGGGGTAATGAGAAAAAACTGTAAGCCAGTGTTAATGCCCTCCTGAGCCAGCCCTGTTCCTGCACACACCGCAGCCAGTATTCACCACTGTGCTCAAGAGTCCTCTCCTCCCTTTCTGCACCATCATTCTCCCCTTCCTCATCATCACTACAGGCTCCACAGCCCTGTAGAAATTTTCTGGCTGTTATTTGCTCTTTTACTATATTATGCAGGCATCTTTTGAGGAAAATCTTCAGTTAATTTTAAAAAATCCTAATTTCTGTTAAAAATCTTAGTGCCTGTGTTTATGCGTCCACATATATCTTGGAGAAGTTCTAAGCTGTTACTATGAAAACCAATTTAAACCAAGAATAAAAGAGCTGTCACTCCAATTTTCCATATAGAACTACTGAATTATTAGTACAGACAGCATACTCTCACATGGGTCCTTTTGCAAATATGAGAACTGAACTACAAGTATAGAAAGGATATCATGTGTCCCAATTGTACTCTCCAGAGCCATTTTAAAAAAGCCAAAAAAAGCCCTATTCTAAAATAAGAAAATATAATGAAAACTACCTCTTCAACATATTTGTTCCTCATATTTTAGTCTGATGTGATAAAGACTATCTTTTTCAAAGCAATAGCTGTACATGGCAAGCCATATATTCATTTCTATCAAAAGCATCTGATGTATGTAAAATTCAAGGCAGAAAAGGCAGAACATTTTGAAGCTGCAAACACCTGAATTTTGTACAGTTGATATCCTTTACACTCTGTCCCAAATTGAAACTC